AGTCTGCGCGGGCAGGTTTGCAGTTCCCCGTAGGTCGTGTTCACAGGCTTCTTCGGTCTGGTAATTACGCTGAAAGAGTCGGCGCGGGTGCTCCTGTCTACCTTGCAGCCGTTCTTGAGTATCTCTCTGCTGAGGTCCTGGAGTTGGCAGGCAATGCAGCTCGTGACAACAAGAAGACGCGCATTATCCCACGGCACTTGCAGCTGGCCATAAGAAATGACGAGGAACTTAATAAACTCCTCGGAGCCGTAACTGTTGCTCAGGGCGGCGTTTTACCAAATATCCAGAGTGCCTTATTACCAAAGAAAAGTGGAGCTATCGTAGGAAAGAAGACACAATCCCAAGAGTACTAGATTATTATGAACCCTTTATAACTTTGGTGTTTAATGAATATACGTATTTTAATTGTGCTTCTCTGCCTTTTATTCAGTGCGCTAGGCGTGTTTAGACACACCTCTATCGGTACCATAGGGGAGTTGGCATTACGAGAAAGCGGTGGCTCATTAGGCTTATGAGTATTACGCGTGTTTAATTTCTCAAAAGGGAATCTCGTAGCACCGTCTTCAGCAGGTCTGCGTGGTTACCGTTCAGTACCTCTCGAAATCTCGTTTTATTTTTGTTTCAAGCTAATGGATGGCTTGGTGCTGGTATTTGTAGCAGATTCGTCGATAATAGTTCATGTACGTCTTTAAGGTTTGGCCGTATTCGTTTACGTGGAAGGGTTACCTGTAGCGTTCCCATCAGGCGCTCGTGATTTTTCCCGACATTTCTCACGAAGCAATATCATCAGCAACTGCTTATTCTCATTCTGATAACGAAGTATTTGTTAAGTAGCACTTATGTGTATGGTTAAAGCCCTGCGTGGCCTAATTGATGTGCCGATCTTCCTAGTCCGCGTGTCGATGTTGGCCAGTGAATATTGTTCCTCTTAGAATTGTGGGCGTAATGGGCATTGGGAAGTAGTCACGTAGAAGACGAATTCAATAAGCCCTGAGTCAGGTTCCGCCACCTATGTTTTTAATGCTGTGTTGTCTTCACCTGGGCGTCGCTTCCCTGTGCTCTAGAGGTTTGGGTTTGAACCGTTTTGACGATAGCCTGGGTTTCGGCTTTTTCTAAAGTTGGTCACAGTCATCGTCCTCTACCCTCAGGGTAGACTGGCTTAGAGCCGTTTCCTATCCTTTTATGGATGGATCTTCTTATCACGCATCGGTAAAAGTAGATTTTAGTCGACTGCCGGCAGTTCCCAAAAAGGGTAAAAAGCTATTTAGTAAAAGCCTGGTGTATTGCCGCTAGGTCAGGTATATCGCTAAATAGCTTGTGAATGCATTGGTTTGCGTAGCTAGCTGCTCGTGTTGTTTGTTGGGACAGCTTCTGAGCTTTGCATATGAATGCGTGTGGGCTGCACCACTGAAGATGAATGCGGTTGGTATACCGCTTGTGCCCTCATCTTGGACGTGTGCTTGGCCTCGGTAAAATTTCGATGGTGCATGGTCTAGGCGGCTTCAGGTATATGATTATACTTCTCCACATGTGAAGATCCACGGCAGACATGGTGGGGAAAACTCGATCCATTCTTTTCTTCGACTGCTCCGACCCGATACAGGTCCAACGTCCAGTTCCGTGTTTTGGTAAACTTTCAAACTACGTTTTGGTTTGGCCTCTTCTACGCCTCCAGCTGACCCGTTCCCTTTTTAGATTGCGGTGACCAGATACAAGTCCGGTTGTGTTTTGGTAAACTTTCAAACTAGGTTTTGGTTTGGTCTCTTCTACGCCTCCAGTTGAGCAACAAGGCCGGATAGGGGGTAGTAGCAC